TATTACAATTATTATTTATTTAAAATACATTTATTTTTATTTAAAAGTTATAATAACTATTAATTAAATTATTCAAAAGAGTTAAAATAAAATTATTTGGCCCGAGCCTAAGACTTCCAAACTTAGAAGATGCAATAAATATAATTTAGGCCTTTCTTTATATAAAATATTAATAAATTAAATCTTTTATTTTTAAATGATGTGTGATTAGATAATTTTTATATACTTTTTATTTTTGGGTAATGTGTGATTCTTAATTTTTTTTGTTCCACAATTTTATTTATATATTTATAAAAGAATAAAAGATGTATCAAATAAAAACAATAAAAAAACTCATCAAATTAAATACAAATGTCATTCTATAAAGAAATCTCAAATTAACTATTATATATACTATTATTCATATCTAATTTAAGGTGTAGTTTGATTGCAATTTGATCTTGATTGGATTTTTTTATCCATGTGGTCCCGCAGAACTTTGTTAGAATGGAAATTTAATTCAAATCTTGAATATTATTTATCCTGTACTTTGAAGTAAATTATTTTACAGATGATGGGATTGAGATTGGACTATTGGAGTGGAAATACAAGTTAATATGCCTAAGTTGATGAAGAACATGCATAATTTCTATTTTGAGATTGTTAGGCACAGAAAGAACAAAACCTCTATTTAATTTATACTGATTATATATATGCAACATTGACAATCCTCAGGAGTTGTTGTATTCAAGGAAACAATAATATTAAAATCTAATATATTCTACGCCCGTTTTTAAGTTATCATTATCAAATTAAATATAATTTCAGTCATAAAATTGTTGGTGCAAGTATACTATGGAGAAATGGTGTTCTTAAATATGATTATGTGAAAGAAAGTTATCCCTAGTACAAGTACATGTTATACACTCGTATTCTTGTATATATACTTGAGTGATGTAATCTTTTGTAAAGTTAGTATAGTATATGAATCTAATATTAATATAATTTGTAAGAGTAAGAGTATCCCACTTACACTTCTATTCCAATAATAAAATTTGTTATTAAAAAGGTAAAAAAGTCCCTAAAAATGTGTAAAATCTTTGGATTTGATGTGAAAAAATTTGTTACCTTTTGTGGATTAATTGTGACAAAAAAATTTGTTACTTTTTGCAATTTTTTTTTATAACAAATTGTATATACTATTACAAAATATAATTGTTATAAATAATAAATTTAATTACAAATGATATTTAATAATTGTGACAAAAATTAATTATTTGTGACTAATATTATATAAATTTCTACAATAATTATCTATATAATCATGCATGCTTTTTGATATATTAGATATCAAATGCTCAGAAGTTAGTCAGTTTATTTATATATTTAATATATTTTTTTTTAAACATGGGAAATTAAGGGGATGAAGGGTTTTTTAAATCGTTAGTGAGAGAAGAATTCTTGATCAACTAAACCCAAATATGGGCAAATTAAAAGAAAAAAACACCTACACACTAAGATTTAGAGACGAACTATAGGACCCAAAAGCCCAGTTCATACATTTAATAACTTGTTATAGCAAAAGATTGAAGTTATAATAACTAGTTCTAAAATCGCACTAAATGTGTCTCGTTTCTACAACAAAAGGATGCATTAGGTTATATGAAACTTATTAGCTTACTGAGGATCTTTCGAGTTTATTTGTTACTAATGTTACACAAATCATGTTATTTTTTTTTTATAGTTTTTATTTAATTTATTATATATATTGTTAAAAGTTATTGTGTAAAATTTTTTACTTGTTTCAAATATGTTTTTTATATTAATTTTAATGGTGACTAAGTGTTGAAAAAGGATTAAGAAAAATAAAAATATATGAGAATAATATAGGATGGGTCATTTTTCTAAAACTTTTCTTGAAAGATTTATCTAAAAATTCATTTTTTAATTAATATTTTTAAATTTTGATTATTAAATTAAAAATTTTATTCAGATAAATCATACATGTCAATTTTTATATTAATTTAATACTTATAACTCTTTAATAAAAAAATTTTATTTACTTATATATATTTAACATTATTAAATTTCTCATAATCAAAAAAATAAGTAATTTTACTAAAATAATTTAAAAATTAACATACATAATTTTTATAATTAAAACCTTCAATTCAATTCAATGATTAATTTTTAAAAATATTAATTAAAAAATAAATTTTTATATAAACCTTTTAAAAAATTTAAAATGACGATTTATAAAAACTCTTATCAAAACACATACTAATAATAAATATCAATTTAAAAAGCTTAAAAGTCATAAAAATCTCTAAAAGAACTGCTCAAAATCTACTTTTGATCGTGAATAGACATTTATAAGTGAGAACTGGGACTCAGTCTGAAGGAAAAAATAGAAAGCCACGAGAAAGTGCAAAAAATTTGCCAATTGATCGACGTCATAAATGAGGTGTGTACAGGCAAAACTTCCACATTCACCTCTCAAAAGAGAGTGTGGAGTGTAAGGTCAGATCTATTTTTAAAATAATATAAAATAAATTATTTTTTTAAATTATAAATTAAAATAAATCATTTATTTTTTAATCTGTAATATTAATTTTTTACTAAAAAATATTTATCTAGTCAACGAAAAACTAATATCATAAGTTTAAAAAATGAATAAATTATTTTAATGTATAATTTAAATAAATAATCTATCTTTATATTTTTTTGATAGGTGAATCACTCGCTATCATTAAAAGGGTGAATGTGAAGGTTATGCCAATTCCTGATATAGGAAGTCCGTGTCGGACTTTTGGACTGAAAAGCAATTTTCTTCGAGTCCAAATGGCAGTCTCGGTCTCTCTACTCTCAACTTTTTGTACACTTTAATCTTGAAACCTTCTATTTTTTCATCTGAGTCCCTTACTTCAACTTTCTCTCTTTCAATTTCGTCCCTTAGCTTTTGATTTTTGACAATTCTGTTCTAAATTTTTAATTTTTCTGATTTTTATAATTTATTCGTTCTCTACCCTAATAATAAAAATCATACAAAATCATGTGAAATCACATTAAAACCATTCAAGTATCGACAAAAGTAAGGCAAAATTAGCACAATAATATATATGAGAATTCAACTTATTAAAAGGCTGAGAAATAATTCAAAGAGAGATAGAATATGAAGTATGGTTTGATGTAATTGTATAGCAGAATTTAATTTGTATAAGGGTTAAAACATTTCTTACACTCTCTATTTAATAAATTACTACATTTAACCTACCAAAAAAGAATAAATGACTACATTTATAGCAAGTGTTATCACTCGTCTTGTAGAGATTTCTTCTAGCAAAAATGTAATTTTATTGAACAGATGTACTCCACACAATGTCCTTACACCAGGCTGGAAGAAAAGAAATAAGCACAATAATTGCACAAACAAGAGAAGCACAGAAAGGGAAATACACAAAATATGTCATCTAGATGGAAATAAAACAACCAAGTCCGGAGAGCCAACAAGGAAACGAAAGGAAAGGAACGAAGGATAAAAGTAACCATTCATCTTCAGGCTAATTAATAACATTTCTTCAAGCTCTTTGCAAGTCCTGGCAACCGGCAATACCGATATGGAACAATTAATTCCATTGCATCAGTAAATAGCAGCCTGTGAATGCAGATTAATAATGCATCATGAAGAGAGCAACATACAAAGCACTGAAATAGTTATGGTTGAGAGAAAAGGGTAGATATATTAAAAAGGATAAATGATAGACATACCTAGAATTATGACGACTATCCAAATCATCAGCAACTCAGCTCTGCACTCCATGTCCATCTCCAATCAAATCCCCTAAACTCATCATTGAATATGGCTTTGGCAATGGAGATGGTCGACCACTAGTAAGTGCCTGATAAACCTGCTGCATGGTGGGCCGCAACTCGGGATTGACGTGCAGACATGTAAAGGCAAGCTTTGTTGTTGAAACCACTTGCTCAGCTACTTTGTTCCTCCTTTGAGGTTGAAGGCGCTGGTCTAAAACATCCTTCAGCAGCATCTTTTGGCCATTTGATGTCCATAAATTCGAAATGATATCTCCTGGATGCCTTCCTATGATTACTTCCATTGCTACCATCCCAAAGCTATAGACATCACACTTTTCACTTGCTTTCATTGTGTAAGAAAACTCTGCAAAAGCAAGTCTAATTAGTCATGTAAACAATATGATAATTACTATAGTTTATTAGATATCAAATAAAATACCTGGAGCTATATAGCCAAAGGTGCCTGCAAAGGATGTCCAGTTTGAGGAGTCGGGCTTTAAAATTCTAGCAGTGCCAAAGTCAGAGACATGAGCTTCGTAATCCAAATCAAGCAAAACATTGTTGCTAGAAATGTCACGATGGATTATTGGTGTTGGGCAATCATGGTGCATGTAAGATAAGGCACTAGCTAATCCTTTAACAATGTTCAACCTCTTATTCCAATCCAACTCCGCTGCTTCTTCTGGGTTGCTCAAAACCATTTGCAAGCTCCCTCTTTCTACAAACTCATAGACCAACAATGAGTGCTCTGCATTAGAACAAAAACCATACAACTTGACAATGTTGCGATGTCGTATTTCTGTTAAAACACGAATCTCGCTTTCAAATGCTCGTAAATTGATGGTCTCATTATCATCTGAGGGATGAAGTTTCTTTACAGCAACTACTCGACCCGTAGGCAACACAGCTTTGTAAACATTTCCATATCCTCCTGAGCCAATGCAGTAATTGGAGTTGAATTGCTCCGTAGCTTCAAGAATGTTTTCATAGACGATTTTTCCGTCACATCCCCATATGGAAAAAATATTTTGATATTGTCCCTTTCTTGGCTTATATTTTTTGCAATGAACGACAAGTAAACACCATACCAAGATAAGCAATAGGAGCAAGCCGCCCAAAATAGGTACAACTATCGAAATCACAAGTCCACTTGAACTTCTCTTGTGGCTTTTAGATGGACAAGGCATTAGGCCAGAGGCATTGCCACAAAGGCCTTTATTGTTTTCAAGAGCATCAAATGGGGCGTCAAGAAAGGCTTTGAGGTGAGGGATGGGGCCCTCCAACTGATTGTAGGAGATGTTGACATTTGTCAAGCTCAACATTTCATCAAAAGTAGGAGGTATGAGTCCAGAAAGCATGTTGTGAGAAAGATTAAGTGTTTCTAAACTTTGGGATCTTCCAAGCTCTGGTGGAATCTCTCCCATTAGAATATTCCAACTCAAATCAAGAGTTTCAAGGGCAAATATGTTCTTTATTTCAAATGGAATACTTCCCCCAAGTTGATTGTTGCTCAAATTCAAGCTCAATAACCTGAGGCATTTTCCAAGTTGTTTTGGAATTGTTCCATCCAAATTGTTTGCGGACAAACTGAGTTGTTGCAAATTGAGTAGCTGTCCTATTTCTAATGGGATTCTACCAAAGAGTTGGTTATCATTTAGAAAGAGATAGACCAATGATGTCAAGTTGCATAATTCCTTAGGAATCTCCCCATTCAGCTGATTTGAAGCAAGATCAAGTCGTTGTAATTGGGTGGCTTGAGCTAGCTCAAGAGGTATCTTACCAGAGATGTTATTGTTAGAGATCTTCAAGCTTGTGAGATTATGACATTGAACCCAATTTGGAGAAAGCTCACCATACAACTTGTTATTGCTGAGATCAATATAATCCAACTTGGGATATATTCCAAAAGCCTCTGTTATATCCCCTTCAAGTTGGTTCCCTTCAAGCCTTACTCTGAATAAACTATAGCAGTTTTTCAAACTTTTCGGGATTAGACCTGTCAAATGATTGTTATTTGCTGAAAGGTTTGTCAGAAATCCCCCAAGGCAAATATTCTCAGGTAAATGGCCACTGAGTTTGTTATTAGCCAATTGTAAACTTTTAAGAAGAATAAGGTTATTCATTTCCAAAGGTATCGAGCCAGAGAAATTGTTATTAGACAAAAAAAGTGTAGATAGGTTGCTCAAGTTCCCTATGGAAGTAGGGATTGAACCAGAGAAATTGTTATTAGACAAAAAAAGTATAGATAGGTTGCTCAAGTTCCCTATGGAAGTAGGGATTGAGCCAGAAAGAATGTTATCATAGAGAGAAAGAAGAGATAGGTTGCTCAAGTTCCCTA